CTGAGGTTAAATACTTAGGTATTTAGATAGGAAGTTAACTTGGAAAACACACATTTGGAGAAAATGGCAACTACTAAATTTAAAATCTAATCAGTTAACTTGGCTCATCGGAAGAAAATCAAAACTTAGTCTAGAAAATAAATTATTGCTATATAAAACTATATTGAAACCAATATGGACATATGGAGTGCAACTATGGGGCTCGGCGAGTACTTCTAATATTGAAATTATTCAAAGATACCAATCGACAATGCTGAGGAAGATAACAAATGCACCTTGGTATGTCACCAATAGAACACTACATCAAGACCTTAAAATGCCTACAGTTAAGGAAGAAATCATGGCCTTAAGTGAACGATATATTACGAAATTGGAATCTCATCAAAATCATTTAGCATTAAACTTATTAAACAATACGGATTATTTACAGACTTAAGAGGCCATCAATTCTGGACCTGCCCTTCAGATTTTTGTAAAGTTTTTTATTGAATAATTTGTTGTTAACAGTGCTTAACAGCTATTTTTATGGCCAAAAGTTAACTTGTTGTATTACATAGCATTTAACTTACTTATTGTTCAATATATTATAGAACAGATTGTAAAGTAAACAAATAAAAAAAAGACCTTAGTGTTGAAATGCATCAGTCATTAAAAATAATTTAAAAAAGGGTACTATGGTGTATTATTTATTATGTATATATATATATATAAATGTAATATATATTTAATATTTATAATATATATTAAAAGTATAAACATATATATGAATTTCAACGGATGGTGTTTTTGGTCTCTAGGGACCTCAAAACGAAAAAGTAAATCGGTCCCGGGTCCAGGTCTTACCATGAGGACTACGGTAATAGCTTATTCCCTATATGGGAAATTTGCTAATAAACAAAAACAAACATTTTGAGACATACCTATGTTACAAAATAAAAATTTTCTAACAGATGGTATATGATAAACAAATAATGGTAAACATTGAATGCCCATAAGGATAACATTGACTTGTAGAGCGCATCCCTTTTCCTTTTGTAAAATCCTATACTCTAATACGAGCAATGTTTGCTTGTATGTATGCTTGCTTGCTTGCTTGCTTGCTTGCAGAAAGATCTCGAAAACGGCTCCGACGATTTTCTTCAAATCTTGTAAATAGTTTATTTTTGGCCTAAAAACAAGTTTCATGCAGTTAGAACTGCCAACAAAAATCTAATTACGTAGAAAAACGAAACTGAAAGTCACATTTTTTTAACATTAGTCTTAAGGGGTTGCTAAGTAACCATGTTGGTTGAATTAAATAACAAGGAAAAGGTAAACAAAAGACTTGAAGTTGTAGCACGTGTTCATAATAAACCAACTACCCACAGTATACTAGCAAATTACAAATACAGTACAAAAGGAAAAACATCACTTGTTAATATTAAACAAAGATTATACCAAAGATTGATTATACTTAAGATTACTCGAGACATTGTAGTCAAGGGTAGCAGTGCGAAGTCTAGGATCTGTTTATGACAAATACATTAAGGTATCTGCAATCCTAAAATGCTATGGGAAGGGAAGGAAACAGGTCCGTAACGTAGGAAGTAGTGAAGGAAGTAGTAAAGGCAATCATAAAATGCTATGGGAATAGAGGGAAACAGGTCCGTGACGTAGGAAGTGATGAAGGAAGTAGTAAATGCGAGCAGTCCGGAGTGTGGGGACTGTTTATGACGATAAGGTTAGGGTATCTGCAATCCTAAAATGCTATGGGAAGGGAGGGAAACAGGTCCGTGACGTAGGAATTGGTGAAGGAAGTAGTCAAGGCGAGCTGTCCGGAGTGTGGGAACTGTTTATGACGATTAGATAAGGGTATGGGCTATCCTAAAATGCTATGGGAAGGGAGGGAAACAGGTCCGCGACGTAGGAAGTGGTGACGGAAGTGTGGTAACTACTATAACTATAAAGACAACATGGCGACATCTAGTTACACACCTTGCTAGACTTGAAGTGACGATCATCAAGACGGAAAACTCCTTGACCGATCGGCAGCCAATCAGGGAGCTCCACGCCGATGTAGGCAGTGCAGCCACCCAGTAACTTAATCTGTTTCCGGTTACTAATAATCTAATATGGTCCTATTGCTACTATATTACAGGAAGTAGTCAAGGCGAGTTGTCCGGAGTGTGGGAACTGTTTATGACGATTAGATTAAGGTATCTGCAATCTTTAAATGCAATGGGAAGGGAGGGAAACAGGTCCGCGACGTAGGATGTGGTGAAGGAAGTAGTCAAGGCGAGCTGTCCGGAGTGTGGGAACTGTTTATGACGATTAGATTAATGTATCTGCAATCTTTAAATGCAATGGGAAGGGAGGGAAACATGTTTGCGACGTAGGAAGTGGTGAAGGAAGTAGTAAAGGCGATTAGTATGGAGTGTGGGAACTGTTTATGACGATTAGATTAACGTATCTGCAATTCTGAAATGCTATGGGAAGGGAGAAATACCCCCGCCGCAGCAAACCTGCAGCTAAGCGAATTTCCATTAACCTGATTGGATTTACACTAAAATGCCTCCATAAAAATAGCACATTTATTTCCTATTTAAATAGAATTAGTTTAACGAGTACTTAGGTTTGCTGCTACAGGGAGGGTAAAAAAGATTTTTTTTATAAAATGATAATAGTTTAGTAAGAAATCAAAGTATTTTCCAAAATCGATCAAAATATGTTCATAAACAAGCAAACTACAACAATTAACTTATTCTCCATAAGAATAACATGGGAATTTTAAAATTACAATTATTTTGAATTTTCTCCGTAACAATTAGGCGCATAGTAACGCTTACTAAATTATTTATATACTAAATTATTTGTTTTTTTAAGCTCTACAAAATGGTTTAAAAAGAAATTGTGAAATTTTGTGTTTTTAGGGTCAAAAATGGGAAAAACCTATTTTTACCCCATAAAACCCCCCATAAACCCCCGTTCCCATAGTCCGACCATGCTGGTTCGCGAACTCATTCAAGTTTATCCCGCCTTACACCTTCAAACCAAATTTGATCAAAATCGGACAAAAACTACTCAAGTTATCGTGCGGATGGACACATATATATATATATATATACTAGCTGACCCGGCGAACTTCGTATCGCCTAAGTTATAGGTTTCCCCTAAGACAGACCGATGGAAAGAAAGTACCGTTACGTTTAATTTTCAAAGATGATCTCGTTCGCATCGCTCAATCACGTCCTGGTTGAAGTTCGTTCGCTACGCTCACTCACCTTTGGGTTGGAGCTCGTTCGCTACGCTCACTCACCTTTAGGTTGGAGCTCGTTCGCTGCGCTCACTTGCCTTCAGGTTAGCTCGTTCGCTACGCTAACTCACCTCCAGGTTGAAGTTCGACCGCTACGCTCACTCACCTTTGGGTTGGAGCTCATTCGCTACGCTCACTCACCTTTAGGTTGGAGCTCGTTCGCTGCGCTCACTTGCCTTCAGGTTAGCTCGTTCGCTACGCTAACTCGCCTCCAGGTTGAAGTTCGTTCGCATCGCTCAATCACGTCCTGGTTGAAGTTCGTTCGCTACGCTCACTCACCTTTGGGTTGGAGCTCGTTCGCTACGCTCACTCACCTTTAGGTTGGAGCTCGTTCGCTGCGCTCACTTGCCTTCAGGTTAGCTCGTTCGCTACGCTAACTCGCCTCCAGGTTGAAGTTCGTTCGCTACGCTCACTCACCTTTGGGTTGGAGCTCGTTCGCTACGCTCACTCACCTTTAGGTTGGAGCTCGTTCGCTGCGCTCACTTGCCTTCAGGTTAGCTCGTTCGCTACGCTAACTCGCCTCCAGGTTGAAGTTCGTTCGCTACGCTCACTCACCTTTTGGTTGCAAATTAGCTGTTGTCATAAATGTAAAAGAAATAATAGTGCTGCACCCTGTTGGTAATCCTTGTAACTTTAATGCTATTGAACATCATAGAACAGAACCAACTTGTTTAATTGAAACAGCTGTCAAGATTCATTAATTCCATTTCTCATAAGGTTAACATGGGAAACTCCAGAGCCACTGGGGTGGAGCCCTTTTAAGAATTTCGAAACGGGAAATAGTTTACGTCCGATTCGCATACCTACAGAATTTACACACCAAATTTCATAACGATCGGTGAAGTCGTTCCGGAGGAGTTTGCAGACAAACACTGTGACACGAGAATTTTATATATTAGATATATATATATATATATATATATATATATCTCTATATATAGATATATAAAAATTTGAACGAATGGTGTTTTTGGCCTCTGGGGACATCAAAATGAACAAGTAAATCGGTCCCGGGCTTAGGTCTTACCATGAGACCTACGGTAATAGCTACTTCCCTATAGGGAAATTCGCTAAAACAGGTCCGCTACGTTGGAAGTGGTGAAGGAAGTAGTCAAGGCGAGCTGTCCGGAGTGTGGGAACTGTTAATAACGATTAGATTAAGGTATCTACAATCTTAAAGTGCTATGGGAATGGAGGGAAACAGGTCCATGACGTAGGAAATGGTGTAGGACGTTGTAAAGGCGAGCCGTGTGGAGTTTGGGAACAGATTTATGTATCTCCGATACTAAGACTGCTTTCAGAGTGAACTAATGATTTTCTCCGAGCAAAGCTCGGTCCCCAGGTACTCATTATGAAAATTGTTTAACTTTCCTATTTTTTACCTGAATAATGAGTAGGGCCTATACCAAATTTAAGCCTTCTAGCTAGTCTGGAAGTTGGAAAATTTCTAACGAATCAGTATGGTGACGCCTTTTACTATTATATGTTTAGATAATATATAATATATTTATGTATTTGAACAAATGGTGTTTTTGGTCTCTAAGACATGAAAACAAATGTAAATCAGTCCCTAGTTTGGTCTAACCATGAGATCTAATAATAATAGGTGTAAATTACAGGGGGTATGGCGTAATAGAGAATTCCCTATAAGAAAATGTTCTAATAACTAAGCTCATTTAATATTTAAGTAAAAAAGACAGGCCGTTACCAGCAGAGATGAGGGGGCGGCGACGGTTCCAATACAGGAGCAGCAGTAGCCACCTAGCTGCCAGGGTGACAGGGAGCAGCACAGAGAGTACCAGCAGCACAGGAAGTCCTACCAGCAGCGCCACTAGTGCCCCCAGCGCTGACCCCAGCAATGACCAGACAGGGCTCTCATCTAGCGGGTGGCGCAGGCGACGCAGAGGCGCACTCCGCATGTACAGAGCCTGGCCTTCCCCGCTAGCCATCTGTAATGACCACATGAAGATGTTCACTTATGGTACGGTAAGGATTCTCTAGATAATTTTCATGAATCTATAAGTATAAAAGAGGATGTAGTTTTGTATATTTGGCAGAGATAAACTCAGACACCACTGTACCGATGGCCATGAAACTTGGTACATACGTGTAGAATTTCATGGAATAAGTTTATACACCACCATCAATTTCGCGATAACTTTCAGAGCTTAGCCCTGGGACCACCTTAAAGGTACCCATGACAGGGATTTTGAAAGAATATTTTAAAAAGAATCCAAGAATATAATTGACAGATGTTTTAAATAAACCAAAAAGTTGGGTTTTATGATGTTTAATAGCATAAATAAGTTACAAGGTTTACCAACAGATTGCAGCACTATAATTTTGTTTTGTTTTCCCTGTTGAAAAGCATGGTACCCAGCTGTACCGAATAAAACCGGGTAACTTCATAAACACATTGCAAATTTCCTATTCTAAGGGTTTTTTTTTAGTTCTAGCTGTTAACACTAGCAAACCTAATAGAGCAAGAGCCCATGACAGCCAGACCTTCGTTATTTTGTAGAAGCTGAAAGTTTCTCAGCACATGCTCCCAATTCAGTTAAGAAAGATCAACGACTATGAAATTTGGATCTTTGTTTCTTAGGCAAAAAAAGGTAACAAAAGTCTGAAATTTACAAATAACCTTCGTTGTTGTATGAAGCTTGGTTCTTTCACATTTTCTTCGGAGGAATGTTAGAAATCATTTCCCCCATTTTTTCCCACACACTTTGTGCGGTTTAAACCCTCTACCAGACACTCTTAAACTTAGGAATAACGAAGATTAATTTTTGTCATTAATAAAAGATGAAATTGATATATGTTACTTGGGGAGCTATCAAAAGACATTTCCTCAAAAGCCAGACACTTTCGTTGGTTTATTCATCTTGCCAGACACTTTTAAGTTTGCCGTGATGGGCTTGGCTTAACTTTTACATGCAAACAGACCAAACAGTGAATTCAGTTCCAGTTTGGAACAGGTTTCTGTGCCAAATGTAAACAATGAAATTACTACATTCTTCTGCACAATCTGTTTTTATAATAAACCATGTGTTTTATGTAAACATATGTTATATTTGTAATTGATTTTGATTTTAATATTTTTATTGATTTTAATTGCAACGCCACTCACACTTATTTCAATATCCACACCATAGACTTTCTCTGTATGAAAATAGTCCAAATTACATGGCAATCAAAATTTTTAACAAGCTATCAAAAACCATATGCAAAAATTCATCAAAAAATACCTTCAAAACCTTACATAAATTATTATTGGAAATATCTTACTATAGCATTGAAGAATTTTTTCAGGATAATTTTGAAGGGTAAGTTGTGGCATGGTTTAAGAAAGAGTCCTTATTATTTTTATTTTATTTATTTATTATTTTTTTTGGCTGTAGTAGAATTATATACAGGACAAAGCCTATATCCTGTCCTGATACAGACCACTGGTATTTCGTCATGTAGTTTGAGCTTAGTTTTAAGACTTGACAGATATTTTTTCTTTTCGTACTAAGAATGAAATGAAATGCTTTAGTTAGTTTACAGTATTACTATTACATTTTTAAAGTTTGAATAATTGTAATTAGTTATATAAAATATATCAGTGTAGTATTAGTTTTATAGATATTGACAAAACTCCTATCTATGTAGGCCTACATTGTACTCCAAAAGATGTTATGAGTTAATAAATTTGAATTTGAATTTGAATTTGAAATGTGCAAGTCACTGGAACCCATGCAACAGTTCATAAATTTATATATAATTAAATAATATACTAGGTGGCGTTCACAGAGGCATCCACAAAATTGAGCGGAGTCATCAAGGGTTCATATTATATCGTTTTTGTCATACTGCAGTAAAAACAGTCGTTTTTTATGCATGCGTTGCGGGTCTAAAGTAGCATTTTTACTCTTTAGAAAGTAAAAATCGTTTTTAGCATCTATGGAGTAAAAATCAGCTGCTGTCAACTCTGTTGTAAATTTATATCGTAAAAGATTGCATGTTTTGAAATATGTATCGATTCGTGATTCATAATCATTTTAACCTACAGTCTACAGTCTCTTCCCATAGCATTTTAGCATTGCAGATACATTAATCCATTCGCACACTCAAAACTGCTCACCTTTACTACTTCCTTCACCACCCCCTACGTCGTGGACCTGTTTCCCTCTCTTCCCATAGCATTTTAGGATTGCAGATACATTAATGTAATTGCCTAAGACAGTTACCACACTGCACTGCAAGCCTTACTACTTCCTTCACCATTTCCTACGTCGTGTGGCCTGTTTCCTTCCCTTCTCATAGCATTTAAGTATTAGATACATATTTATCTAACTGCCCAAACGGTTACCCCACTCTGCACTGCCAGCCTTTACTACTTCCTTCACCACTTCCTACGTCGTAGGGCCGGTTTCCTTCCCTTCTCATAGCATTTTAGGATTAAAGATACATTAACCTAACTGCCACAGACGGTTCTCACACTATGCTCATACTTTACTACCGGTACTTACTAAGCCACTTCCTACATCGTGGACCTGTTTTCATCACTTTCCATAGCATTTTAGTATTTTAGATACGTTAATCTAATTGACACAAACATTCCCCACACTCCGCACTGCTAGCCTTTACTACTTCTTCACCATTTTCTATGTCGTGGGGATGCTTCAATCCCTTCTCATAGCATTTCAGCATTGCAGATATATTAATCTAACTGCTACAAACGGTTTCCAGTTCCCACACTCCACACTGTTCACCTTACTACTTTCTTCACCTCTTCTTACCTCGCGGACCTGTTTCCCTCTCTTCCCATAGAGTTTAAAGATTGTAGATACCTTAATCTAATTAATCGTCATAAACAGTGCCCACACTCCGGACAGCTCCCCTTGACTATTTCCTTCACAACTTCCTACGTCTCAGACCTGTTTCCCTCCCTTCCCCTAGCATTTTAGGATTGCAGATCCCTTAATCTAATCGTCATAAACAGTTCCCACACTCCGGACAGCTCGCCTTTACTACTCTTCCTTCACCACTTCCTATACGTCGCGGACCTGTTTTCTTCCCTTCCAATAGCATTTTAGGATTGCAGATACCTTAATCTAATCAAACAGTTCCCACCCTCCGGACAGCTCGCCTTGACTACTTCCTTCACCACGTCCTAAGTCGTTTTCCTCCCAGATACCTAAATCTAATCGTCATAAACAGTTTCCTTTCAACAACAGTTTTTTTTCAACAGTTACCTTTACTACTTCCTTCACCACTTCCTACGTCATGGACCTCAAGCTAGTGTCGTCATTTGATTATATTTATGATCCATACCGTTTCTGTTCTAATATCTGTGGAATAATGCTATCAGCTATTTCTTTATCTACTGCATTCAAAAGTCAACCGCTGATCATATGTCTTTGTTTATGTGTCAAATACTGCTTCCATAAGGATAACATCTCTTAACCCTCCCATATCCTTGTCTAGTAGCCAACTTAATACATACCTATCTCATCTATACAATTATTCATAAGTATCCTACTATTTGGGTAATTACTGTATACAGAACCAAATAAATTCATTATTTGTACAATTTGAATATGTTTTATTCATTGAATATGAATATGTATCACTCTCCTCTGATATATTTTTATATTCCCTACACTCCTCTTAATTTGTTCACTTATATCATGAATCCTATTCTCAGATGTACTTCACTCACCCCTTACATTTGTCCAATTTATTACACTCATCCAAATTGTTTCCTAAATCTCTTTGCTTCTCTCATTATAAGTATGAAGTACCTGGGGACCGAGCTTTGCTCGGGGAAAATAATTCCCCCACTCTGCGATTCCCCCTTTACTACTTCCTTCACCATTTCCTTCCCTTCTCATAGCATTTAAGTATTACAGATACATTAATCTAACTGCCACAAACGGTTCCCACACTCTGCGATGCTAAACTTTACTACTTCCTACGTCGTGGACCTGTTGTTATCTCTTTCCATAGCATTTTAGTATTTTAAATACATTAATCTAATTGCCACACACATTTCCCTCACTCCGCACTGCTAAAAAGCATTTAATACTTCTTTCACCATTTCCTATGTCTTGGACATTTTTCCATCCCCTCTCATAGCATTTCAGTATTTCAATTTCAGATACATAAATCTAGCTGTTACAATTGGTTTCCAGTTCCCAGACTCAACACTGCTCGCCTTTACTACTTCATTCACCTCTTCCTACGTCGCGGACCTGTTTCCCTCCCTTCCCATTGCATTTTAAGATTGCAGATACCTTAATCTAATCCTCATAAACAGTTCCCACACACCGGACTGCTCGCCTTGACTACTTCCTTCACCACTTCCTACGTCGTGGACCTCTGTTTTCCTCCCTTTCCATAGCATTTTAGGATTGTATATACCTTAATCTAATTGTCGTAAACAGTTGCCACACTCCGGACCGCTCACCTTACTATTTCCCTCACCACTTCCTACGTTGCAGACCTCTGTTTCCCTCCCTTCCCATAGCATTTTAGGATTGTATATACCTTAATCTAATCGTCATAAACAGTTCCCATACTCGGGACCGCTCACCTTTACCACTTCCTACGTCACGGACCTGTCTCCTTACCTTCCCATAGCATTTTAGAACTGCAGATATTTTAATCTAATCGTCATAAACAGTTCCCGCACTCAGGATAGCTCGCATTGACTACTTCCTTCACCACTTCCTACGTCGCGGACCTGTTTCCTTACCTTTCCATAGCATTTTAGGATTGCAGATACCTTACTATCCTTATGGAACAGCTGAAGCCACTTATATTGTTAGTTCTGTCTGGTTTTCTGTAGATGTCGTGTTTTGTTTTCAATCTATTACTTATTTAATACGCAAGCAGGTTTTTTGTGACAATTACTCCTCCGAAACTACTGAACCGATTGACATGTTTTTGGTGTCATGGAAAGAGG